CCCCCCAACCACACTCCAGAGACATGCTGGCAGTCTAATTGGCTCCTCTCTGTGTTGGCCCTCTGTGTATGCATGTGAGATGGGATTGTAGGCTCCTCGGGGGCGGGGACTAATGTAAAGTGCTGCGTAAATTGTCGGCGCTGTGTAAATACCTCTAATAATAAATAAATGAATAGAGGGGGTATCTGTTAGGAACATCTCCTTTTAGTTCTCATGCAGCCTGCTCAAAGCATGCGTTTGGATTGCGGTAGGCTGCGTTTGACCTGCTTTGCCCGCAATGCAAACGCATCTCAATCAGGCCCGTGTGTGTCCAAAGAATTGCAAAGCCTTAAAGATCTCATCTGCCCCCCGGCATGGAAGTCACCGGGAATGTGCTGAGCTGGGATTGGTGCTTCAAGAGCCAGGACCACCAGGGCCCGTCATTACAAGACGCAGAGCGGCTGCCAGGGGCCACAGCGCCACGTTTCCGCTGCGACATTTCACGTGACGTTCTTTGACTGAACGCATTCTATGTGCTTCCTTTATCTCTCGCAGTGACCTTGTATAGCTGCTCCGTTGGACAGTCGGACTGCAGCCGCTGCCAGGCGCTGGGCCCCGAGTACATGTGTGTGTGGTGCGGGGAGGAAGGTGACGCATCGTGCGTGCAGAGGGATCAGTGTCAGCAGGCCGCCATTGACGTTTGTCCCGCGCCTCGTATCTTCTCCGTGAGTATTCACCAACGCATGTATGTGAGTAACAATGGGACTACTTCCCGAGCACCACCGACCTCCCTCGTTGCGTGTCAGATCCCTGCTCCACACAGGAGCCAGGCTCCTCCCCTCAGCATGCTTCCTGTTGGTTGAAGGGGGGTTCTCATGCTTCCTGTTGGTTGGGCGGAGGAGTTGTCATGCTTCCTGTTGGTTGATCTGGGGGTGTCATGCTTCCTATTGGTTGGGGGGAGGGGTTCTCATGCTTCCTGTTGGTTGGGCGGAGGAGTTGTCATGCTTCCTGTTGGTTGATCTGGGGGTGTCATGCTTCCTATTGGTTGGGGGGAGGGGTTCTCATGCTTCCTGTTGGTTGGGCGGAGGAGTTGTCATGCTTCCTGTTGGTTGATCTGGGGGTGTCATGCTTCCTATTGGTTGGGGGGAGGGGTTCTCATGCTTCCTGTTGGTTGGGCGGAGGAGTTGTCATGCTTCCTGTTGGTTGATCTGGGGGTGTCATGCTTCCTATTGGTTGGGGGGAGGGGTTCTCATGCTTCCTGTTGGTTGGGCGGAGGAGTTGTCATGCTTCCTGTTGGTTGATCTGGGGGTGTCATGCTTCCTATTGGTTGGGGGGAGGGGTTCTCATGCTTCCTGTTGGTTGGGCGGAGGAGTTGTCATGCTTCCTGTTGGTTGATCTGGGGGTGTCATGCTTCCTATTGGTTGGGGGGAGGGGTTCTCATGCTTCCTGTTGGTTGGGCGGAGGAGTTGTCATGCTTCCTGTTGGTTGATCTGGGGGTGTCATGCTTCCTATTGGTTGGGGGGAGGGGTTCTCATGCTTCCTGTTGGTTGGGCGGAGGAGTTGTCATGCTTCCTGTTGGTTGATCTGGGGGTGTCATGCTTCCTATTGGTTGGGGGGAGGGGTTCTCATGCTTCCTGTTGGTTGGGCGGAGGAGTTGTCATGCTTCCTGTTGGTTGATCTGGGGGTGTCATGCTTCCTATTGGTTGGGGGGAGGGGTTCTCATGCTTCCTGTTGGTTGGGCGGAGGAGTTGTCATGCTTCCTGTTGGTTGATCTGGGGGTGTCATGCTTCCTATTGGTTGGGGGGAGGGGTTCTCATGCTTCCTGTTGGTTGGGCGGAGGAGTTGTCATGCTTCCTGTTGGTTGATCTGGGGGTGTCATGCTTCCTATTGGTTGGGGGGAGGGGTTCTCATGCTTCCTGTTGGTTGGGCGGAGGAGTTGTCATGCTTCCTGTTGGTTGATCTGGGGGTGTCATGCTTCCTATTGGTTGGGGGGAGGGGTTCTCATGCTTCCTGTTGGTTGGGCGGAGGAGTTGTCATGCTTCCTGTTGGTTGATCTGGGGGTGTCATGCTTCCTATTGGTTGGGGGGAGGGGTTCTCATGCTTCCTGTTGGTTGGGCGGAGGAGTTGTCATGCTTCCTGTTGGTTGATCTGGGGGTGTCATGCTTCCTATTGGTTGGGGGGAGGGGTTCTCATGCTTCCTGTTGGTTGGGCGGAGGAGTTGTCATGCTTCCTGTTGGTTGATCTGGGGGTGTCATGCTTCCTATTGGTTGGGGGGAGGGGTTCTCATGCTTCCTGTTGGTTGGGCGGAGGAGTTGTCATGCTTCCTGTTGGTTGATCTGGGGGTGTCATGCTTCCTATTGGTTGGGGGGAGGGGTTCTCATGCTTCCTGTTGGTTGGGCGGAGGAGTTGTCATGCTTCCTGTTGGTTGATCTGGGGGTGTCATGCTTCCTATTGGTTGGGGGGAGGGGTTCTCATGCTTCCTGTTGGTTGGGCGGAGGAGTTGTCATGCTTCCTGTTGGTTGATCTGGGGGTGTCATGCTTCCTATTGGTTGGGGGGAGGGGTTCTCATGCTTCCTGTTGGTTGGGCGGAGGAGTTGTCATGCTTCCTGTTGGTTGATCTGGGGGTGTCATGCTTCCTATTGGTTGGGGGGAGGGGTTCTCATGCTTCCTGTTGGTTGGGCGGAGGAGTTGTCATGCTTCCTGTTGGTTGATCTGGGGGTGTCATGCTTCCTATTGGTTGGGGGGAGGGGTTCTCATGCTTCCTGTTGGTTGGGCGGAGGAGTTGTCATGCTTCCTGTTGGTTGATCTGGGGGTGTCATGCTTCCTATTGGTTGGGGGGAGGGGTTCTCATGCTTCCTGTTGGTTGGGCGGAGGAGTTGTCATGCTTCCTGTTGGTTGATCTGGGGGTGTCATGCTTCCTATTGGTTGGGGGGAGGGGTTCTCATGCTTCCTGTTGGTTGGGCGGAGGAGTTGTCATGCTTCCTGTTGGTTGATCTGGGGGTGTCATGCTTCCTATTGGTTGGGGGGAGGGGTTCTCATGCTTCCTGTTGGTTGGGCGGAGGAGTTGTCATGCTTCCTGTTGGTTGATCTGGGGGTGTCATGCTTCCTATTGGTTGGGGGGAGGGGTTCTCATGCTTCCTGTTGGTTGGGCGGAGGAGTTGTCATGCTTCCTGTTGGTTGATCTGGGGGTGTCATGCTTCCTATTGGTTGGGGGGAGGGGTTCTCATGCTTCCTGTTGGTTGGGCGGAGGAGTTGTCATGCTTCCTGTTGGTTGGGGGGAGGGGTTCTCATGCTTCCTGTTGGTTGGGCGGAGGAGTTGTCATGCTTCCTGTTGGTTGGGGGGAGGGGTTCTCATGCTTCCTGTTGGTTGGGGGGAGGAGTTGTCATGCTTCCTGTTGGTTGATCTGTTTTGCTTCTCTTGCAGTTTTCTCCGTCCACTGGGATTATTGACGGCGGAACGATCGTAACGATTACTGGACAGAACATGGGCCAGAAAGCAGAGGACGTGTCTGTGACGGTGGGTGAGCGGCCGTGCACCCTTCTGCCTCATTTATATGTCGTCTCTAACAGGTAAGCCCTACAGCTGCTCCTGCTCCCTACAGCTGCTCCCGCTCCCTACAGCTGCTCCCGCTCCCTACAGCTGCTCCCGCTCCCTACAGCTGCTCCCGCTCCCTACAGCTGCTCCCGCTCCCTACAGCTGCTCCCTACAGCTGTTCCCGCTCCCTACAGCTGCTCCCGCTCCCTACAGCTGCTCCCGCTCCCTACAGCTGCTCCCGCTCCCTACAGCTGCTCCTGCTCCCTACAGCTGCTCCCGCTCCCTACAGCTGCTCCCTACAGCTGTTCCCGCTCCCTACAGCTGCTCCCGCTCCCTACAGCTGCTCCCGCTCCCTACAGCTGCTCCCGCTCCCTACAGCTGCTCCCTACAGCTGTTCCCGCTCCCTACAGCTGCTCCCGCTCCCTACAGCTGCTCCCGCTCCCTACAGCTGCTCCCGCTCCAAGGGGGGGCAGGGCAATGAGAATAAGTGCACTTTATCTAGAAGTACCCTTCGTCTTTCAATGCATCCTACTCTGCACTCTGCACTCTTACGCGGCATTCTGACCTTTATGTGCCGGAAAGTCTAATGTCGGTGATGAACCGCTTATAAATCTTCCAGTAGCGGCTCATCAGGCCGAACGCTTCCTGAAATAGACGTGTTTATGTCTCTGCGTGTTGCCGGATCCCGTGTTACTTGTAATGGGTTCAGCTTTGGCGCGTTGCCCGTGCGTCTTCATGATGCAGTGACGCAGCGCCCTCTGCTGGGGGATAGTGTTCACGCACTATTATAAATAAAGCTGATTACAGGATCGCTGTAGACCAGGGGCGCCCCCAGCAGTGTTACTCCACACCAGGGGCGCCCCCAGCAGTGTTACTCTACACCAGGGGCGCCCCCAGCAGTGTTACTCCACACCAGGGGCGCCCCCAGCAGTGTTACTCTACATCAGGGGCGCCCCCAGCAGTGTTACTCTACACCAGGGGCGCCCCCAGCAGTGTTACTCTACATCAGGGGCGCCCCCAGCAGTGTTACTCTACATCAGGGGCGCCACAACTGCGGGAGGGGGGGCGTGGCGGTGCATTGAAGTCAATGCACCGCAGCCACGCCCTCCTGCCCGCAGTGCGATCGCCCGCACCCGGAACGCGGGCACGTTAGTACCTGCGTTCTGGTCCAGTGCGATCTGCAAGCACTGATGTGTCTGCGTTCCGGGTGCGGGCGATCACACTGCGGCCGATCCTTCATCGGGGTATCAATAACCTATTCTGGGTGTCGGGGTCGATGGGGGTAATAAAAATCTAACGATTCATTTATTTGGACGTCTCTCTCGGAGTTTCTGCCCCAAACACTCTAATATCCTTTCCCCCCCCCCTCCCCCGATGTCCTTCCCGCTCTATAGAATCGTGTGCAGTCTGTCAGCCAGTCAAGGCGTGGAGTCCGGGCATGTGAAAGTCTCTGTCAGCGGCCGCGAACCCGGAGAGTCCACCCAAATGTTCTACTACCAGGTGAGTCCCAGCAGAAATGTTGGGGGAGGAGCTAAAGTCTCCCGGGGACAGCAATGCACCTCACCCAGGTAGATAGACGATGATATTACCAGGGACGCACCGATACCGAGTACAGGGCACCGATACTTTTCCCCCGGTACTCGCCGATACCAATTACCGATACCGGAAGTCCCCCATTCAGGAAGCCAGGCGGCGTGTAATGACTCGCCACCCGGCCTCCTGATTACCAAGAAAGCCGTCCCATAGGAATCCCTCAGTGCGGATCTCTGTCCCCTCTCACCTCGGCATGTCCGGCCTGTCGCCCCCGGGGGCCCCTCCAGCCAGGAGCGGCCTTCCTCCGGTACTCACCCAGAGCCGCCTTGCTGGCCAATTATGGAAGCCGGGTGCTGTGTAACGACGCGGCGCCCTGCTTTCCGATTGGCCGGGAAGTCGGCTCCATGCTCTCTCATCGCCAGTGACGAGGGAGCATGGAGCCGCTTCCCGGCCAATCAGGAAGCCGGGCGCCCTGTGATGAGGCGCAGGAAGTATCGGGCTCGGCATCGGAGCATTTGGCCAAAACAGGTTTTATTTAAACATGTAACGTTGGCATGCTGAGGAAGGGTGTACGGATTAACTAGGGAAGGCAAATATGGGCAGCGCAGGGGCGTAGAGGTTAGCGCTTCTGGGGGCCCCCGGTTCGAATCCTGGCCAGGATACTATCTGCATGGAGTTTGCATGTCCTGCCTGTGCTGTGCGGGTTTCCTCCAGGTATTCTAAAGACACGCTGGAGGGTTAATTGGCTCCTCTCTAAGTTGGCCCTCTATGTATGCATGTGAGATGGGGATCTTTAGATTGTAAGCTCCTCGGGGGCGGGGACTGATGTGATTGTGCTGCGTACATTGTCAGCGCTCTATAAATACCTGTAATAAATAAATAAGCAGATCAGACTTCAGCTTACCATGGCAACCACTGAGCTTACCATGGCAACCACTGATCTTACCATGGCAACCACTGATCTTACCATGGCAACCACTGAGCTTACCATGGCAACCACTGATCTTGTGTTCCCCCCCATAGAGATACATTGACACCGCTCCTCAGCCAAGGCCACTATGACTGTGTTGAGGGCCGGTCTGGGAATCTTTTCTGTGAAAATGTGTATGCCACCAGGCAAGGGTCATTTGATTGCAAGCTCTGCTGGAGCATTGACTGATATCTGTGCCATCGTTACAGGACCCCGAGCTCCACTCCCTGACTCCGGTGAGAGGTCCGATGGCCGGAGGAACAAAGATCACCATCTCTGGAATCAAGCTGTCCACCGGAGACACCATTGCAGTGACAGTGGCAGACTTGCCTTGTGAAGTGTCAGTAAAGATTTTGTGTTGTGTTGATGAGGTCACATGACGTCTGAAGTCCTCTGTGCTGACGGCAGGTTTGTCCTCTTCCTTGCAGATCCGGGAATGTGACGGACGGTCGGATATGTTGCATTACCAGCCCGAGTTCTGTGCGGCAGGAGGAGGCGCCAGTCCTTGTGTTCTATGGTGAAGTAAAGCGAAGCCTGGAGGGAACGTTGTACAACTACACGGAGAATCCCACCATCTCCTCCGCTTCCCCATCCAAAGCCTTTTATGGGTACATGAGAAGAGATCAAATGGTTTTATCTCCGCTGCCCCTCGCCCCTTCTCCGCTGCTCCTCGCCCCTTCTCCGCTGCTCCTCGCCCCTTCTCCGCTGCTCCTCGCCCCTTCTCCGCTGCTCCTCGCCCCTTCTCCGCTGCTCCTCGCCCCTTCTCCGCTGCTCCTCGCCCCTTCTCCGCTGCTCCTCGCCCCTTCTCCGCTGCTCCTCGCCCCTTCTCCGCTGCTCCTCGCCCCTTCTCCGCTGCTCCTCGCCCCTTCTCCGCTGCTCCTCGCCCCTTCTCCGCTGCTCCTCGCCCCTTCTCCGCTGCTCCTCGCCCCTTCTCCGCTGCTCCTCGCCCCTTCTCCGCTGCTCCTCGCCCCTTCTCCGCTGCTCCTCGCCCCTTCTCCGCTGCTCCTCGCCCCTTCTCCGCTGCTCCTCGCCCCTTCTCCGCTGCTCCTCGCCCCTTCTCCGCTGCTCCTCGCCCCTTCTCCGCTGCTCCTCGCCCCTTCTCCGCTGCTCCTCGCCCCTTCTCCGCTGCTCCTCGCCCCTTCTCCGCTGCTCCTCGCCCCTTCTCCGCTGCTCCTCGCCCCTTCTCCGCTGCTCCTCGCCCCTTCTCCGCTGCTCCTCGCCCCTTCTCCGCTGCTCCTCGCCCCTTCTCCGCTGCTCCTCGCCCCTTCTCCGCTGCTCCTCGCCCCTTCTCCGCTGCTCCTCGCCCCTTCTCCGCTGCTCCTCGCCCCTTCTCCGCTGCTCCTCGCCCCTTCTCCGCTGCTCCTCGCCCCTTCTCCGCTGCTCCTCGCCCCTTCTCCGCTGCTCCTCGCCCCTTCTCCGCTGCTCCTCGCCCCTTCTCCGCTGCTCCTCGCCCCTTCTCCGCTGCTCCTCGCCCCTTCTCCGCTGCTCCTCGCCCCTTCTCCGCTGCTCCTCGCCCCTTCTCCGCTGCTCCTCGCCCCTTCTCCGCTGCTCCTCGCCCCTTCTCCGCTGCTCCTCGCCCCTTCTCCGCTGCTCCTCGCCCCTTCTCCGCTGCTCCTCGCCCCTTCTCCGCTGCTCCTCGCCCCTTCTCCGCTGCTCCTCGCCCCTTCTCCGCTGCTCCTCGCCCCTTCTCCGCTGCTCCTCGCCCCTTCTCCGCTGCTCCTCGCCCCTTCTCCGCTGCTCCTCGCCCCTTCTCCGCTGCTCCTCGCCCCTTCTCCGCTGCTCCTCGCCCCTTCTCCGCTGCTCCTCGCCCCTTCTCCGCTGCTCCTCGCCCCTTCTCCGCTGCTCCTCGCCCCTTCTCCGCTGCTCCTCGCCCCTTCTCCGCTGCTCCTCGCCCCTTCTCCGCTGCTCCTCGCCCCTTCTCCGCTGCTCCTCGCCCCTTCTCCGCTGCTCCTCGCCCCTTCTCCGCTGCTCCTCGCCCCTTCTCCGCTGCTCCTCGCCCCTTCTCCGCTGCTCCTCGCCCCTTCTCCGCTGCTCCTCGCCCCTTCTCCGCTGCTCCTCGCCCCTTCTCCGCTGCTCCTCGCCCCTTCTCCGCTGCTCCTCGCCCCTTCTCCGCTGCTCCTCGCCCCTTCTCCGCTGCTCCTCGCCCCTTCTCCGCTGCTCCTCGCCCCTTCTCCGCTGCTCCTCGCCCCTTCTCCGCTGCTCCTCGCCCCTTCTCCGCTGCTCCTCGCCCCTTCTCCGCTGCTCCTCGCCCCTTCTCCGCTGCTCCTCGCCCCTTCTCCGCTGCTCCTCGCCCCTTCTCCGCTGCTCCTCGCCCCTTCTCCGCTGCTCCTCGCCCCTTCTCCGCTGCTCCTCGCCCCTTCTCCGCTGCTCCTCGCCCCTTCTCCGCTGCTCCTCGCCCCTTCTCCGCTGCTCCTCGCCCCTTCTCCGCTGCTCCTCGCCCCTTCTCCGCTGCTCCTCGCCCCTTCTCCGCTGCTCCTCGCCCCTTCTCCGCTGCTCCTCGCCCCTTCTCCGCTGCTCCTCGCCCCTTCTCCGCTGCTCCTCGCCCCTTCTCCGCTGCTCCTCGCCCCTTCTCCGCTGCTCCTCGCCCCTTCTCCGCTGCTCCTCGCCCCTTCTCCGCTGCTCCTCGCCCCTTCTCCGCTGCTCCTCGCCCCTTCTCCGCTGCTCCTCGCCCCTTCTCCGCTGCTCCTCGCCCCTTCTCCGCTGCTCCTCGCCCCTTCTCCGCTGCTCCTCGCCCCTTCTCCGCTGCTCCTCGCCCCTTCTCCGCTGCTCCTCGCCCCTTCTCCGCTGCTCCTCGCCCCTTCTCCGCTGCTCCTCGCCCCTTCTCCGCTGCTCCTCGCCCCTTCTCCGCTGCTCCTCGCCCCTTCTCCGCTGCTCCTCGCCCCTTCTCCGCTGCTCCTCGCCCCTTCTCCGCTGCTCCTCGCCCCTTCTCCGCTGCTCCTCGCCCCTTCTCCGCTGCTCCTCGCCCCTTCTCCGCTGCTCCTCGCCCCTTCTCCGCTGCTCCTCGCCCCTTCTCCGCTGCTCCTCGCCCCTTCTCCGCTGCTCCTCGCCCCTTCTCCGCTGCTCCTCGCCCCTTCTCCGCTGCTCCTCGCCCCTTCTCCGCTGCTCCTCGCCCCTTCTCCGCTGCTCCTCGCCCCTTCTCCGCTGCTCCTCGCCCCTTCTCCGCTGCTCCTCGCCCCTTCTCCGCTGCTCCTCGCCCCTTCTCCGCTGCTCCTCGCCCCTTCTCCGCTGCTCCTCGCCCCTTCTCCGCTGCTCCTCGCCCCTTCTCCGCTGCTCCTCGCCCCTTCTCCGCTGCTCCTCGCCCCTTCTCCGCTGCTCCTCGCCCCTTCTCCGCTGCTCCTCGCCCCTTCTCCGCTGCTCCTCGCCCCTTCTCCGCTGCTCCTCGCCCCTTCTCCGCTGCTCCTCGCCCCTTCTCCGCTGCTCCTCGCCCCTTCTCCGCTGCTCCTCGCCCCTTCTCCGCTGCTCCTCGCCCCTTCTCCGCTGCTCCTCGCCCCTTCTCCGCTGCTCCTCGCCCCTTCTCCGCTGCTCCTCGCCCCTTCTCCGCTGCTCCTCGCCCCTTCTCCGCTGCTCCTCGCCCCTTCTCCGCTGCTCCTCGCCCCTTCTCCGCTGCTCCTCGCCCCTTCTCCGCTGCTCCTCGCCCCTTCTCCGCTGCTCCTCGCCCCTTCTCCGCTGCTCCTCGCCCCTTCTCCGCTGCTCCTCGCCCCTTCTCCGCTGCTCCTCGCCCCTTCTCCGCTGCTCCTCGCCCCTTCTCCGCTGCTCCTCGCCCCTTCTCCGCTGCTCCTCGCCCCTTCTCCGCTGCTCCTCGCCCCTTCTCCGCTGCTCCTCGCCCCTTCTCCGCTGCTCCTCGCCCCTTCTCCGCTGCCCGCCCCTTATCTTAGCATTCAGGTATTCAGAGTAACGATACGAGCCGCCGTACATAAAGGAATAGGAAATTGTGGAGCCGTCCGACATTTTCCCTTCATCTGTTTCTTCTATTTACAGGGGCGGGCGACTTATCTCTGTCACTGGTTCAAACTTGGATGCCGTTCAGACTCCCCATATGACGGCTCTGATCAAGTCTCCCCCAGAAGAGCTTCGGAATGGAAATGGCGTTCACCGCAGGAAGAGGAGGAGGAGGGAACTGGGGCGCAGTATTGTGCAGGAGGTGAGAGAGATCTTTGGCACTTTAACTCTAAAGAGAGGTTTGTGTCACCCATTCAGATCCGAGTCACACGGCCTTATGGTAGCTTGCCCTTCCAGAAAGGTGTGATCACCTATCCACGCTCCCCTGCTACCTACCTGCTACTGCTGCCCTGATGAAGCGGGGGGCTTCCAAGTATGGGGGAGCGTGTGTCCTTCCCATGTGACAGTGCTCAGGCCGGAGCGGCCGATTGCCAGGCCCGAACACTGTCACTTCTGTGGGGATATCATCCACCCGGGTCAGCTCCAGCACCACGTCAGCTTACTTAAAGTGACATGAAACCCTCAGATTGTGTAACATAAACCAATACTGTAATGTGCGCCGCACTGTACTCCATGGTGGTTTCCCTTCTCTTTGCTGCTCTTCCTTTTAAATCCTCATGTCTTCTCATGCTGGGGGAGAACTTCCCTTTGCAGCCGAGTGCCTCTTCCTGTAGTGCTGGCTCAGGTTGTGAACCTGCACACAGACACCATGTAGCTATTCCGGAGACAAGGCAGTCTGCTGCAAAACAGAAGTTCTCCCCCAGCATGAGAAGAGATACGGATTTAAAAGGAAGAGCAGCAAAGAGAAGGGAAACTACCATGGATTACAGTATTGTTTCATGTTACACAATCTGAGGGTTTCATGTCACTTTAAGGCGGACTCCTACGTCAAAGGAATGTGCATGAGTGTTACTGCAAAGGCTCCGTTACTCTCCCAGACTGACCGCGATGCAGCGTCTCTTTAATTCAGTTAATATACCGTATCTCCTGCTGTTAAAGGAGGACTACGAGGTGAGTGATTGTCAGCCTCATAGTCCTAGCCGACCTGTGACAATGTAACTGTCACACGTCTGCTCAATAGATCGGGAAGTGAGGGAACACACAGCGTCGCTCGCTCACTTCTCGATCTATCCCTGCAGAGAGCCGTGACTGTCACTCACGGCTCCCTGCAGGGATTCCCCTGTCCGATCCTCCAGCGCTGACTGGCGGAACGGATGGGCGGAGGGGGCGGGTACAGCTGGCTCTGCCTCTAGATAGGAGGAGCCAGCTGTCAATCATGCAGCTGGGCGGATCCAGACAGTAAGGCCCCATTCACACTGAGCGATTTATGGAGCGATTTTTGCAGCGGTATCGCTCTATGTAGCTTCTCCAATACATTTCAATGGAGCTGTTCACATCTCGTCGCTCAATACCGCTTGTAGCTCGTCGCTCCTACATGACCCTTTTTTCGAGCGATTTCGAGCGATATTGCTCACAGCCCAATAGGAAAAAGTCGCGCGACAAGTTGCTCAAAATCGCGCAATTTTATGTCGCTCAGTGTGAATGGGGCCTAATGTCGGGATCCGTCCCGGCTGCGGCGTCTCAGTATACCGCGAGCTGTAGCTCCCTATATACTGAGCTTAGGGTGACGGGAGGGCGCTAGTTTGTGTCCTCCCGTTACCCTGAGGAGAACTATGGGGGAAAAAGCCCTGACCCCGTACTTCTCCTTTTAAAGATGGAGAACTATCACTTTAATTTTCTCCGAGCAGCGACGCCTGAGGCTTAAGATGCGCAGGTTATCTGCAGATGGCGAGGCATATTGGAGCCAGAGCCGGTCTGTGGGGGCAGCCGGCGAGCGCTTGCAGTGCCAGAAATGCTTTTATCACATGTTGGAAAATCACTTTGGTCCTCACTTGTTCCATTGTCTCCATAAATAGAAAGTCTCTTTGTATCATCCGGCAAAATCCGAGGTAAAGGTCGGGATGAGATCTAGTACAGCGATAGCTAGACCTCCCAATGCCCCCCCGAGAGGTCTGACCTTCCAAGTCACCCATTGTTTCCTGTTCATGGGATACCTCCCGGGCCGCTGGTCAATGTCCTCAGTGATTACTCGTAATTCCTTCACCTAATCCTGGCTCAGTATGTGGCAGCGGGGAAATGAAGGGTGGCTGTCGCATCCAGTGGCACTCGCAACCTTAACCCCTTCATGACTGAGGCCCTTTTTTCATTTTTGGCACCCATGTTATATTCCACATTTTAGGCCTGAAAATGACATAAAACCCCCCAACGTTATATATTTTCTGAATGCCAAGACCCTATAGAATAAAATGGTGGTAGTTGAAAATTTTTATGTTGCGCAATATTAGCGCAACTCCTTATTAAACCCCAAAATTTAGTGACAAATTTAATTAAATGCCCCAAAACACAACAAATTACCCATTTTTTTAATGAAATATAAAAGATGAGGTTACAACGAGTAAAACGATACCCAACATGCCCAGTTTACAGATTGCGTGCGACCGTGAAACGGCGAAAAACTGCAGTACCCCAAATCACTTCTGTTGTAAAGCCGACAGTCGGCTCTACAAGTTTAAACAGAGTCCCGGCGGCAAAAGTCGCCGGGAGGAACAGCCCCCGATGCTGGCGACGTACACTGTACGTCGTCAGTCACGAAGGGGTTAAAGAACTCCAGTCATTGCTACCAGGATGGTGGGGGGGGAGTCAAAGCTTGCAGATTAAAGGAGATCTATGGGGTTAAGTCTTTCCCTCATAGTTCTCAGGGTCACAGGGGGACACAAACTAGCGTCCTCCCGTCACCCTAAGCTCAGTATATAGGGAGCTGCAGCTCGCGGTATACTGAGACCCCGCAGCCGGAGCGGATCCCGACATTGATATCCGCCCAGCTGCGTGATTGACAGCTGGCTCTGCCTATCCAGAGGCCGCTGTACCCGGCCCCTCCCCCGTGCGTTCTACAAGTCAGCGCTGGTGAATCGGAGCGCGGAGGGGGGAATCCAGCCCCTCCCCCTGTCACGGCAGAGAGCCGTGACATGATCGAGAGGTGAGCGAGCGACGGTATGTGTTCGCTCACTTCCCGATCTACTGAGCCGACCTGTGACAGTCTCATTGTCACACGTCGCCCCGAACTATGAGGTGAGTGAAAAGCCCCTCCCCCTCATAGTTCTCCTTTAAATGCCCCAGGCCTCTTAGATTTCTGCAGCAATGAATTTTGAATGATCAGTTTTGTTCATGGAGATCCTTTCAGGAATAAAAGGCGCTAGCAGGCGTGTGTCCCATCTTTGTCCAATTCATAAAGAAGAACTTCACTCTCCTATGTTTTCGTAGAACCCCCTCTCACCTTTGGTTCAGCGTTGTCCTCACCTGCCCAATGAAGTCAGGGTTGTCCCACTGCGATCCAATGATGAGGTGACGGAGCTGGGGTCCCATGCCGCTATCTTGGTGCTCCATCATCGGGAGCTTGGCTGCCTCTTCTGGGATTAGACAGCCGGCCCCCCGAAGACCAGCACAGCTCTGCCCACCAGTCACCCCATTATTATTATTATACAGGGGTTATATGGCGCCAACAGTGTGCGCGGCGCTGTACAATATAAGGAAGACATTACAAGTCACAATACAATTCAAGACAGGATGGTAAGGAGGGCCCCGCCCCCGAGGGCTTACAATCTAATAGGGAGGGGCCAGTGATACATGAGGAGGGAGCTGTGTGGGGGTGAATGGTTGAGCAGTTGGGTTGAGGTGGGATCGGCTTCCCTGAAGAGATGAGTCTTAAAGGAGAAGTACGAGGTCGGGGCTTTTCCCCATAGTTCTCCTTAGGGTAACGGGAGGACACAAACTAGCGTCCTCCCATCACCCTAAGCTCAGTATATAGGGAGCTACAGCTCGCGGTATACTGAGACCGCCGCAGCCGGAGCGGATCCCGACATTACTGTCTGTATGCGCCATGCTGCGTGAGTGACAGCTGGCTCCGCCCATCTAGAGGCAGAACCAGCTGTACCCGCCCCCCTCCCCCGTCCGTTCTGCCAGTCAGCGCTGGAGGATCGGAGCTAGGAGCGGGGAATCCAGCCCCTCCCCCTGTCACAGCAGAGAGCCGTGACAGGATCGAGAGGTGAGCGAGCGCCGGTATGTGTTCGCTCACCTCCCGATCTCATTGTCACAGGTTGGCTAGAACTATGAGGTGAGTGACAAGCCCCTCCCCTCACCCCTCATAGTTCTCCTTTAAGGGATCGCCTAAAGGTAGTCAGAGTGGGAGATAGATGGACAGGTTGGGGTAAAGAGTTCCAGAGGATGGGAGAGACTCTAGAGAAGTCCTGGAGGCGAGCATGGGAGGAGTTGACGAGGGAGCTAGAGGGTAGAAGGTCTTTTGAAGAGCGGAGAGGAAGGTTAGGGTGATACTTTGAGACGAGGTTGGAGATATAGACGGGGGGCGGAGTTGTGGACGGCTTTGTACGCGGTTGTTAATATTTTGAATGTTATCCTCTGGGCGAGTGGAAGCCAGTGCAGGGATCGGCAGAGGGATCGGCATAGCCGTTCCTGAGAACGCCGCCATTGTGGACGTGCTCTTTGTCCTGGACAATGTTCGGATTCCGTTCGGCAGTCTCGGGGAGAGCTTCACCTACCTTAGGAACCCGACTCTGAAACCTCTGAACAGAGACAACCCGAATAAACCCTACAGCCTGAAGCCTGGGAACGTGCTGGACATAGAGGTGACCCGAATACAGCAATCTGATTTCTAGGGCTGCGGAAACTATCGATTAATTCCTCGATTTAATCTTTCATTATTTTGATCGGTACTCACCTCTCCGCCGGCTTCCGGGAGATCCGGTGACGTCACCGGACTCCTCCCCCCTTTCCTTCAATGTGCTGGATGAGTGTGATCCTAGTTCATTTTATGACTTCATTGATGTGCTGTATGTGTATAGGTCATGGCTGTGCTGTATGTGTATAGGTCATGACTGTGCTGTATGTGTATAGGTCATGGCTGTGCTGTATGTGTATAGGTCATGGCTGTGCTGTATGTGTATAGGTCATGGCTGTGCTGTATGTGTATAGGTCATGGCTGTGCTGTATGTGTATAGGTCATGGCTGTGCTGTATGTGTATAGGTCATCGCTGTGCTGTATGTGTATAGGTCATCGCTGTGCTGTATGTGTATAGGTAATTGCTGTGCTGTATGTGTATAGGTCATTGCTGTGCTGTATGTGTATAGGTCATTGCTGTGCTGTATGTGTATAGGTCATTGCTGTGCTGTATGTGTATAGGTCATTGCTGTGCTGTATGTGTATAGGTCATTGCTGTGCTGTATGTGTATAGGTCATTGCTGTGCTGTATGTGTATAGGTCATTGCTGTGCTGTATGTGTATAGGTCATTGCTGTGCTGTATGTGTATAGGTCATTGCTGTGCTGTATGTGTATAGGTCATTGCTGTGCTGTATGTGTATAGGTCATTGCTGTGCTGTATGTGTATAGGTCATTGCTGTGCTGTATGTGTATAGGTCATTGCTGTGCTGTATGTGTATAGGTCATTGCTGTGCTGTATGTGTATAGGTCATTGCTGTGCTGTATGTGTATAGGTCATTGCTGTGCTGTATGTGTATAGGTCATTGCTGTGCTGTATGTGTATAGGTCATTGCTGTGCTGTATGTGTATAGGTCATTGCTGTGCTGTATGTGTATAGGTCATTGCTGTGCTGTATGTGTATAGGTCATTGCTGTGCTGTATGTGTATAGGTCATTGCTGTGCTGTATGTGTATAGGTCATCGCTGTGCTGTATGTGTATAGGTCATCGCTGTGCTGTATGTGTATAGGTCATTGCTGTGCTGTATGTGTATAGGCCATTGCTGTGCTGTATGTGTATAGGTCATCGCTGTGCTGTATGTGTATAGGCCAATGTGGTTGGATCTGTATGTGCGTTATCATTAATCGAACAGGAAAATGTTAATCGGTAACGGCCCTAATTATTTCCTCTACAAATCTGATGTTGGCCAATGTTTTCCCTCTCCGGGATATCACGTCGGATGTGTACTTTGTATCCCCAGGGAGAAGGTTTGGACACGGGGATTCAGAAGGAAGAAGTTCGCGCAATGATTGGAAATGGCGTCTGCACAGTGAAAACTCTCACCCACAACCACTTGTACTGCGAGCCGCCACTCGCCGCGCCGCAGCCGCTGGATGCCGGCGCCCCTTTGCCTCAGTTTGTGGTTAGTACATTTACGGCGCATGTCGGGGGAAGATAACAAGAGCGCGCAGACATGCGACGCATGCACATCGCGTCCCACGCTCGGAATGTCATTATTTCTTGCAGTTTGGAGAAGGAGCCAATCATTTTGTCCATTGTTGGAGTTCTGCGTGGAATGCGTCAGCTTTTGGCTTTTTTTAGTCTCCACTTTTTTGTGTCGCCAATAAAAACAAAAGAAATAAACACGAGAACACCGAAACATTTGTCATTGCAACAATTGTCTGTGCGGAGGGATGCGACAAATGCCGGGGTGCCAATATTCTGAGCCGTGACTGTGTATAGGGGGGAGGGGGGTGTATATGTTAGGGATGTACCAATACTCGTATCAGTATCGGTGCCGATGCCGAGTATTTGGGCGGGTACTCGTAGTCACGCCAATGCTCCGATACCTAGCCCGATACTTCTGGTATCAGGAAGCCGGGCAGCGCCTCATTACACAGCGCCCGGCTTCCTGATTGGCCAGAAAGCCGGCTCCATGCTCCCTCGCCACCTGGTGACGAGAAAGATGGAGACGGCTGATCAGGAAGCTGGGTGGCGAGTCTTTACACGGCGCCTGGCTTCCTGAATGCGACTTCAGGTACTCGGTATTCGGTATCGGCGAGTACCGGAAAAAAATATCAGTACTTGTACTCGATACCGAAATACCGGCATCGGTGCACCACTAGTGTGTGTGTGTATATATGTATCCAATACACATTATATATATATATATACTAGGGATGCACCGATACCACTTTTTTAAGACCGAGTACCGATACTTTTGATCAAGTACTCACCGATACCAATTACCGATACTTTTTCTTAAAGGGACAGGTCACATTTTTTCTAAAGCAATACAAACTAATGCTTTAAGGTCACTTTCTTAATATTACGATTCATGAGATGACGAGGGAGCGTGACGCCGGCTTCCCGGCCAATCAGAATGCCGGGCGCTGCGTCATTACACGGCGCCCGGCTTCCGGATTCGCTAGCTTCCTGACCAATCGGGAAGCCGGGCAGCGCGTCATGGCACGCTACCCGGCTTCCTGATTGGCCGGGAAGTCAGCTCCATGCTCTCTCATCACAAGTGACGAGAGAGCATGGAGCCGTTTCACGGGCGCCGTGTAATGATGCGCTGCCCGGCTTCCTGATACAGGAAGTACTCGTGCTGGGTATCGGAGCATTTGGGCGAGTACGAGTACCCAAATACTCGGTATCGGCGCCCATACCGATACTAGTATCGGTGCATCCCTAATGTATACCAATATACCGTATTGGATGGCGATTTGTCAATAAAGGACTTTTTGCTTCAAAACTTTTGGTGTGCTGGTGACAACCCTTTCTAGATCTGCATTGTTCACGGGGCCGTCCGTGGTCACTACGAGCACCCACCTGCTTGGCAGGTTTACTACTATTCCGGTAAGGAGTGCAGCTGGTTCTTGACTACATATATATATATATACTCGCATCAAAAGGATAGGTGCTGGGTAATGATCACTCCGCCTGGGCTAAGGTGTTCAGTTGTGATGCAGATTGTTTGAGTTATCCAAATGCCTTGAAGAAGTGCGTTTGCTGCATGAAGAATGTTTGCGGGACGCATGTATGTGAAATGTTTGATGTTACATGGAGGAGAGATGAATGCGGTTGTTGCTCCGGGACTCTGTCCCTCGGGTAGTATGTGCGATGGGCTGCCGCCATGTTGTTCTATGTGTATTCCTGACGCGTTTCTGATCTCCCTCAGATTCACATGGGGAATCTCCGCTTCAACCTCGGACAAGTGAAATACGACGTTGAGGGACAATCGAGTTTTCCCCGAGAGGCCAAGATTGGACTGGGAGTCAGCGCAGCTCTGCTCGTCCCTATTGTCCTCATCATCATTTTCATGTACAGGTACGTTGGCCCTGGTGTCAGTTATGTATCGGACGTGTACGCATGTAAGTCATTGTGTTTATTACCTTTCAATGATGACGGTACTCCCCCCCCCCCCCCCCCCTTTCCTCACCCCAGCCGCGGCGGCCTCTTTG